ATGCTTCAGAGCGTGTACCCTCTGGACACATACTTTGCAGTTTACGGAGTACTGGAGGTTGGAGAGCAGTTTTCATACCTTGAGTTAGCTCTGAAGAAGAGTGTCTAATTTAGTTAGTACACTGATCATCTCTACAAATCCGCATTGCTTGTGGCGTCAATTACACCTACAAAGAGATTACAAGGGTTATGTATACCATCCTATAGTACAAACCATTTTTCAGTACGGTTGTGGAAAATGGTCTGCATGGGCAGATAGCCTTCACGTTTTTTACCATCGACGACTGCGAATTACGGATATCGGACGGCATTACTTTGTTTGTGAAAGGATAATCAGAAAACGGGTACCTGGTTGGTACTTCAGTTGTGGAAAATATCCAGCACTATCAACCGTGGTGACTCGGCCATGTACTGTATATGTACCTTTGGAATGGTGTGAAATGTGGAGCGAGCAACATGACATGGTAGAAAGGAGTAGATATTACGAAAAGTTTGAGTGATTTTGATGCGGTCTCTCCAAGATGGGGTGCCTATGAACATCCCCTCACTTGGATTGAGACGACTCAAGAAATGGCGGCTAACCGATGTCGGTCGCGTTTGTGCCAGTACTTTTCGTTCAGATTGTCTGATAGGGCATGCAGATGTGCAGACACCACAGAGTAATTGCGGCACTCGAACACCATATCTTTTTCTTGTTCACTGTTATTTTTCTCACTTTAAGTCTCTAAGGTTAATTACGGGGACCTTCTGGGTAGATGCCAGTGAGACATCAGTGTCAGCAGTGATGTCGCCGTCCCTGATGATGATGATGAAGGTAAACTGGACGTTGTAATGTCTCAAGCTTACTTCATTTGAATCGGCCTCACAGACGCAATTTTGATAGGTTGAATAACAGGCCACTTGGAAATTCGATGGCCAAGAAGTAATTGGCTACTTGTGAGTGCTTTGACCATGGGGGACTCAATGGTTTCAGTCGGAATAGCATGCTTATTCAACGATGTTTCTGTTGGTCGCTTAGGAGTTTAAGACAAAGTCGACATCCAGCACTAGAATAAACGAAATGTGAGACGTAAAGCAACAATTCTGGATGTTAACAGGATATGAATACCAAACATGCTTTGATTTTCATTCGAATTGGTACGGGTAGATAATGGGAAATCTGGTAAGCGTGTTGGTAGCGCATGCATCTGCGCTGATATTCGCAATGAACCTAGACTGTGAGGGTCAAGAAGGCATCTCGTGGTAGTCATGTGATGATTGGAGTCGAAGTCTAAAGTCACATGTCGACTGAATGGACTAAAACAGATATAGTTTCGTTAAGACCAGCGCAGCGAGCAAAACTGAACGGTGACGTAGATGAGTTCGGGCTCGGTTTGATGCTTACACCAATAACAAATTTCCCATGGGAATTGCCACCTCGGTTGGAATTGGTCATTAACCTACGAGTATCGCATCTCCTCAAATTCCGTTTTCTGCACTCCACAGGTGCTGCGGGTACAAATCGCCCATCTTCATCTACGCGCCCCGTCACTCAAGGGTTACCGGTAGTCAGTATTGGGGAAAACCTCAATCGAAAGCAGAAAAACGGGCTAAAACAACCGGAAGGGTCGGCGAAGCAGGGATGATGGCTCTGAGGCTCCCACAATCTGATCGGCTCGGGAGTACAGAGAACACTGATTAGATTGAATAGCGAAAACTAACTGCAATATTAATTTGTGACATTGGCTCACTGTCTTTTTCTACATCTCTGGAAATGGTTAATATTGGTTTTGGTTTTCGGTGTGATCGAACACGGCCCGGTGACAAACCCCAGATCAAGGGAAATAAAGATGATCATTTCAATTGATGGTCGTATGAGTAATACTTAGCTCAGTCCAGTTCACCAGACTACTATGGGGGTGAATCCCACTTTTATGTGTATTTTACCTTTGTGAAATATGAGCTATGTGGAAGAAACCTCTTGAAGCTTGAAGAAAAAACGGTGAGTAGGCATAGGGGAACCAAGGGTATCAAATCTGAGATAACTGTAGGTGAATTATGATAAGTCGTGTGCCTTAACCTGAAAAATGTAAAGACATAATGAGGGCAGACTGTGGCAGACAGAGACCTACCGGTTTTAATCCTGGTGACGAAATTTCGTCCTCTTTCAGATGTCAGCTCGACTGCCCCTGTCTATACTGGAGCAACCCCGTAGTATCTTAACCCTAGCACTTCTTCAGGTGGCATGGCAGCTAAGCACAGAGTATTGCAGCTGAAAGATTAGTATTTATTTTAAATGGCTAGATTGACTGAATATATTATGAAACAGCAAGCAAACGGCTACACCAGTTTGCCAAACTACTAACTGCGGTATTCACCGGTACCCCATAGGTTTTGTGTTGATCGGGAGTTCGATTGATGTTGAAAACTGCAGTGAGGTTTCGGGCTCTTGTAGCCTTGCTCCGCAATGATTATCGGGTAAGTCCCCTGTCGGCGCAGGGTTTTCGTTAATTCTCGACTCTAAGGGGTAGGGTTAGTTTGGAATAAGCACCCAAACTGAAGATTTTGTTTCTAATGGATGAATGACAAGTAATCATCAACGAATATGACCACTAGCCTATTGGTGATAATAACTATATCGTCAAAGCAAGTGATGTGCATACTACTAATGAAATCCAATTTGAGAAAAAAACTGGCGTTACTTGGTCTTAGCTCAAACGGTAAATCAGGAATCTAATCCACCCTTAATTGGGGCATCCTGCCCAGTGGTACCCATTACTAACCGGTAGAAGTCAGATCTCGAAAAAACTTGCTCACAAATCCCCTCTATGACCGTCAACCTATCGTTTTGATCCGCAAAATTCTCAGTGAATCACACTGTTCATTGTATGGAACCCAAAATGTGAGATATACTATCCGGAGAAATTACCGCTGTTCGAGTGAAATTGATCTGGATGGTATGTCACCAATGCCACAAGCATAAGTAAGCGAGAACGCAGTCCTACAGTTAGACCATGCATATCAAACGCCAATGACGTCAATATATTTTCAACGATGGCTCTCCATGTGAGAACTGTGAACGAATGACTGTACATGCCTTCACACAGATACCCTCGTGAGTTAACGGTTGTGCGGTTTTTTGTGCCCTAATGGCGAATCTTACATATTGTTGAGTGAACCACTGTGAATGTGCTGCTTTTAGCACATAAGACACTGCGATCGCTAAAAGTTTTCAACGCCATCCTGAAATTGACAGCATTGACTCCAATCATTACAGAGCAACAGCTAAATATTCGTGAAACAGGATCACCCTACCTGTAGCGTTAGGATGTAACGAATCTAAGTAGACAGCGTCATAAAGGGGATGATGTGCACTGTTGACACATATTCTCCAGGTGACCTCGTTTTTGATTTCACGGTTTATACTGAAGAACAAGGTCTAGCAATAGGATCTCCAATACCCCCGGTTTTGACAAATATATTTATGGAGGAAGTTGAATAGAATGCTCTAGGCGGATTTTCAGACCCACCCAAGGTATTCTAACGTTATGTGAATGACACTTTCGTTGTGATGAAGAGACAAAGTTAGTGAGTCTTACAACCATCTGAATGAGCTGAGTCCACACATCAAATTTAGTATGGAGATAGAGTGAATCTCGGGTGCACTGGCATTTTTAGACTGCATGACACATAAGGTCCGGGGAAAACTAAAGACCACAGTATACGAGAAGTCAACTGACACTTGGGTATTTTTGAACTACTCGTCTGCCCATCCGAAATCGGTATTCGCTAATATTGCCTCACCAATGTTGAGGCGTGTGTACAGAAGTTGATCGGACAGCGGCCTAAATTGAAGTAAAGAACAAACTTCGGGATAGTGGATATCCCGCTAAATTGATTAGGCGTCAATTACGAAGGGTCTGGTACCAGTGGCGAAACCCAAAAGAGAATGGCTTGGGACAGCTTTTAGTCCATATAAACCAGGGATATCGGAGATCATTCGAAGGATTCTAGACACGGTCAAAGTAAGAGTAGCTTTCCAGAGGGGAAACACTGTGCGCTCTGTACTAGTGCAATTAAAGGATTGCCTCCAGGCAAACAGAACTAGGGACTATGTCTACAAAATCAAGTGTAAAGACTGCATTAAGGTCTATATAGGACTGACGGTCAGGGAACTTCACAACAGAATCGGAGAGCATAAGAGGAAAATAAACAGACCGCCAAGAAACTCAGATGAATATCGACCGTTACTGAAAGACTCGGCAATCGCAGAACATGCATTGGACACGGGACACAACAGATTCAGAAAATGTTGAGGTTTTGAGGTGAGCACCACGGTCCACGTCACAGAGACTAATAATCGAGGCAGTAAAAATCACCAAGCATCCAAGTGTTGACGTAATGGAAAGCGTGGAACTGACAAAGGTGTGGAGAACGGTCTTGGGTCAGTCGAACTAATACGGGTTGGTGTGCGATTAGCAGGAGTAGTCTTCATCTGGATTCCACTTAGCCCACCTACCCCCTCCGGAACTAAGTTGCCGCAACACACACAAGCCCAAGAAGACCAAGAAGAATTTACCAGTGGCATCCGCGGTGAATCATCAATTGAAGCACCCTGAAGTGGAAGATTAGGGACAATCGACGATTGGAACTAATTTGAAACTCCTACAATCCATCAATTCAAGATTTTGGCAACCATACTTACAGACAAGAGCCGCTAATTGACACTCAAAACTGATCTAGTGTGATAATCTGAAGAGGACTTACGGATTGGTTTCCCGTCTGCCTTATAACCTGGCCAATTTGGTGACCTGCTAACTTGGCCTGATGAAACTTTTGTGTCAAAAGCGAAATCTTGCCTAAATAAAAATCCACCGAATGTTTACCAAGCCCTTCTGAAACGATGACTTCTCAGTCGGTACCAAACCTTTTCAAACTGACAGAAATTATTAGTGCTTTTTCACCAACACCCAACGTCACCGAAAAAGCGAACACACCCGAAACAAAAGACAAGAGGCAGGAGCGCACACAAGGATTTACTTCGAATATTGATTTACACGATTTTGGTGCAAGGGACGACAAATCACCCCACCAGATATTGAGGTTAGCTCTTCTTTGAATCCAGGACTTTGGAATGAGAGGTCAAATCAGTACTTCAACCGCCGATCTCAAAATGCGTAGATAAGGAGACTAAATTTCGCGTGCGACCAGCCGGTTCATAATGAGGAAACGCAGAATAGAACGAGTGGCAGACTGGATGTTTCCAGAGTCTTTTTTATGGCGAGCCAAACCCCGTAGGATTTGGACCAGAGAAAGGATAGCCCTGACATTCAAAACGCTACAACTCGCTCTGTTCAGGTACGATACTGCGATTATTACGGATCAGTAGTGAGTGGTCATGTTCTCAAAGTAGGAATGATGAAGAGCTTGGTCTGCGGAAATGCGGTCCGTAGGGTTGCAAACAACCAGCTGCTGTATGACGAGAATGAAAAGAAGGAAACCATTTTCTGAGGGTAGGTTATTTTAGGGCAGGAAGGAATAAAAAGAACAGCACGGTCGTACGATGTGCCGAACGATCGGACATACAGCAATGCTGATTAGATTTACTACAAAGGAGAAAACCGATTAACTACTTCCCTCTTGCATGTGCACCAATAATCTCCGCAGGACTGAAAGTCTGTCCGAACGAGAGCAACATGAATGCAGGATCACGGTGGCAGATGTCGGCCAACCACACTCCAGCGCTTAATATGAAAAAATTCGGTTCAACCTATGCGAGGTTATCAGGGTGGCTGGCACCAGAAGGATTGGCACGAAGCCGTGGCCAAATGACAGTTAAATCTCCTTGGTTCAAACAGGCGACGAGAAATACAAGATGAATATTGAGTGGCAATCGAAAACACCGAAAGTGTTCTACAGCGAGAAGGCTCAAGTGATCAGAGCGCGAATTTACTGACCGGAAGGTCCATGATTCGAACCCGACCTCCGCCTCTCGACTTCCCCAGATTAGGCTTGGGTAACTTGGCAGTATTCCAGCCCTCGTGCTTCCTTTGGGTGGCATGGCAGCTAGACACTGAAAGGATATTATAGCTGAACGATTATTTTTATTAACGACGATAAATCACTTTCACAAAGAGGAAGGACAGTGTAGTGGTCTCTGTGAAAGTGACGCTCTCTCCACTACACAAGGTTGAGATGTGACGGCGACCAATCCAGAGAGATAGTCACTGTGGAGGATTATGGTGAATTTACGAAAATAGAAATGTCGCTTATTTTGTCTTGAACATGCTAGCTAATGGCTTATGTCCAGCTTAAAGACTCAAATATGTAGGAAGAAACATGCTGCAAGCATGAATGGGTTGAAAATTACTTGCAAAAGATCGATTCCGCGAGAGGACAGCTTGGGAACCACTTGGTGCCAGTTCATGGCTGGCGGGTATATCACAGTAAAAGGCTAAAAGAAAGAGAGAGGTGGTTTTAGCAGCAGTTTTGGCTAACTTGAATTCTGTGAGAAAAAGGATGAACAGATATGTAAATGCTGCAATACGTCTCAGCGTTATCAATAACTACTTTATTCTTAGTACTGATGTGATCATGCCAGGTGAAACTGATGGAATACGGTGTATTCGTGTTCGCAATCTAGTGCGCAGAAACTGTAGACCCAATGCTATCATAAGGAGCCTACAGACTGCCACAACGGTAGTTAACTAAGAGTGACTGCTAAATCGTTACCACCACAGTTTAATTCACGAGTCGTGTTCTCCTCCGATGTAATAAAAGCAAGAGGCTGTGAATCACAGCTCGCCTTGCAAAGCATACTACCTAACACCTACCCGACCTACCTCATAATCCGGTAATTCGGTTACAGTGGGCCAGGTGACTTCGGTTGGTGTACCCAGGAGTCTGAAAAGATAGAAGCAAACATTCTGGATAGTCTCCATTTGTTGATTTTCTTGTTTCGCATCACAGTATCATGAAATTCATCTGGATGAATGACGGTACGCTCAGTTTCATAGCAAAATATATAGACCAACATACCTAATGAAACCATCAAGTCTCAGTGGAATAGAGTCAACTGCTTAATTCTAATGTGCTAACTACGCGTAAATGTGTATAATGGGATACTAAGCGTGCAATCTCACCCGCTGTGGGTAAACTATCGAAAAGAAAGTATTTTTCACAAAAAAGGGCAAAACCACACTGCAGAGAGTAAGATGTGGGAGTCTTAGGAAAGCTCGAATTAAAATAATAATATTATTAATAATAAAAATTTTTTAAAATAAAAAAAATAATAGACAAATAAAAAAAGATAACAATCTAAGGGTGAAGCAAGCGAATGGCCTACTTGAAAATTCGTTGCAACTGGTCCTCCACATCGAATCCAGGAAACAGAGGGCGTCCCGCATTAGACATTTCGGCAAAAATGCACCCAGCAGACCACACATCGATTGAAGTTGTATAGAGCTTGGCACCGAGTAGTACATCTGGTGGTCTATACCACAAAGTAACCACCTGAATTAATGGAAAATAGACAGACTGTTGAACTAGTCTGTTTGCATGGCACCTCGCCGAACCATAGTTGCGTGCATAAATGTATCCGTTCCTTCTGAATTTCATACGTGACACTCTCCCTTCTGAACTATCGTTCAGTTGTAGCACCTTTACGGTGTCTAACTCCCACGCCACCCAAAGGAAGCACGAGGGCTGGGATAGTCCCAAGTTGCGCAATTTTATACTGGCAGTCGAGAGGCAGTCGGGTTCGAACCACGAACCGTCCGGTCAGTAAATCCACGCTCTAATCACTTTTGCCATCTCTTCTGAACTAGGCACATAAACATATAGACGACGAAGAGCAAAATTATCAGCATAACTTCTGTGGATTGCAATGCAGTATCATATGTGATATCTCACTCCCACAATGACCACCTCAATCCTGTCCCATGTGATTGGGCTTTGAATTGATATACTGC